GCATACTCTAAGCTTTAAAACAAGCTCAAGTTTTTGAAAATCGGTCAAAGGATTCGCGAGTAAACTTAATTTTACAGAGACAACCTCCTGTCGCCGCGTGCCCACCTCCGGGGTCAGAATGCGCGGAGAGTCGATTATTGAAGACTCGGATTATCGCCTCTATACATCACATCAACAAGGCATTTTAAAGTTTTCATTGAGTAGGCCTTACCTTACTTTTTGACGTAGTCTCCACATCTTTTTTTGACATTTCTGGTATCATTACAGCAGCTTCTTGATGCCGTCCGCGTATAGAAGCTTTCGCCTTGGCTCTGAAAACAGTCATTGACAGCTATCTGTACCTCTGAATCGGTTGAAAATCGCTTCCATCGTGGAAGTTTTTCCGCTCGGGAACAAATGAAAGTCACATGAAGCTAAAGTAAGAGAGTTTGAAGGATTCGGGGATTTCCCTACGCAAAACTGGTTTTGGAGTCAAGGCGAAAGCTTCTACGCGGACGGCATCAAGAAGCTGCTGTAATGATACCAGAAATGTCAAAAAAAGATGTGGAGACTACGTCAAAAAGTAAGGTAAGGCCTACTCAATGAAAACTTTAAAATGCCTTGTTGATGTGATGTATAGAGGCGATAATCCGAGTCTTCAATAATCGACTCTCCGCGCATTCTGACCCCGGAGGTGGGCACGCGGCGACAGGAGGTTGTCTCTGTAAAATTAAGTTTACTCGCGAATCCTTTGACCGATTTTCAAAAACTTGAGCTTGAATTAAAGCTTAGAGTATGCCTGATATGTGCTTTTTACCGATCTGATTTATCTCTTTTCACTCGGAAGATACAAGGTAGGGAACCTTACATTTTGGATGACCCTCGTACATCCTAAAAACACAACCAGACGTTAAATTGGAAAAAAATCGAGTGTCCCCCCCCCCTCCCAAAAAAAAACAAAAAACTCACAGCCGAAGATGGAAATGATATGAGGAAATTTTTGGTATCAGGGAAACTTTGGGAAAACACTATCGAATTTGGATAAACGTTGTTGATCGATCTATCTTCATAAATCCATTAAATATTACTTTCGCGTGTGCAATTTTTTGCAAAATCATGGACATTTTTTCTCGAAAATTGCCGATATTCAGGATTTAGGATCGGGACAATTTTTTTTTTAAAATGTGTAGGTAAGACTCACCTCTTAATCTTCATCTTTCAACCCACAATCGAAGGTAGAAGAGACGTGTTCAGGACTCGTTTTTTTAAGCGTTTCTCCCAAATCTGAGCAACATTTCCTTGGCAGCATAGCGACGGTGAAACTACCAAACCACGTATCTCGTTTGCGGTGTTTAAAAATCTACGCTCGCATTTTATTTTTTTGAAGTAGACCAAATCAATATCATTCCTTGAAATTTTCACAGAATTTTCTCCGCACGAAGAGGAAAAATCACAGAAATTTTCAAGACTGGACGTAAAGTAGTTTTTCATTTAAAAAATAAAGTATGACAGGAAGTCTGCGACGTCGCAAACCGAGATACGTGGTTTGGTAGTTTCACCGTCGATAGATCGCGAGTTCACGCCTCGCGCCATCGCGCCTTCAATTTTGCAGATGCTGCAACACGGACATCCATCAAGCACGAATAGTCGTATCTCTGCGCCGTTGTCAACGCGCGTCCTTTCCCTTGCTCTATTCTTATGTTGTGTTGGTTCCGTTTTTCTTATTTGTAGTGGTGCTTCAAAGGCTACGCGAGCAACACAGCCAAAGATAGGAGAGACGTAATCAGGCCTCATATTTCAAATTTTCTTCCAAATCCGAGTGATACCTCATTGGCAGCATGTAGCGGAACATTGCGAGATCACGCCACGCGCCATGTTGCCTTCAATTTTGCAGATGCAACACGGACATGCATCAAGCACGATTGTAGCTCTGCGCTGCCATCAACTCGCATTGAGGTGTCACCGTCTAAAAATTGGTATTTCGGCGAGAGTTTTGTCGTATTAGGGTGGTTTCACGATAACTGGAATAGTTTTGTCACCGGAACAGACAACACGTTTTTCGATCATATTTTTAGAAGAAATGGAAATCACTCGAATTTTTTCGCATTAATCTTCAAAGAGTTACGTATTATAACGTTTTCTAATGATTTATGGCTCTACTTCTCAATTAATATTCTGTCAATTCCGAAAATGTGCTGTCTGTTACGCGGTAAAAAGTCAGCGTAATCGACAGCACATTTTCGGCCATTTATATATTAAAATTGAAAAGTAGAGCGATAAATCTTTGAAAAACGTTATAACACGTGACCTTGCGTAGGTTGATGCAAACAAATTCGAGTGATTATCATTACTACTAAAAATATTACCGAAAAATGTGTTGTCTGTTACGGCGACAAAACTATTCCAGTCATCGTGAAACCACCCTAATACGACAAAACTCTCGCCGAAATACCAATTTTTAAACGGTGACACCTCAATGCGCGTTGATTTTGTTTGTATCAACCTACACAAGGTTACGTGTTATAACGCTTTCCAAAGATTTATCGCTCTACTTTTCAATTTTAATATATAAATGGCCGAAAATGTGCTGTCGATTACGCTGACTTTTTACCGCGTAACAGATAGCACATTTTCGGAATTGACATAATATTAATTTAGAATTAGAGCCATAAATCATTAGAAAACGTCATAATACGTAACCCTTTTAGAAGATTTGAAGAGCAACAAAAACTTTAATAATAATTCCAACACGACTTTGTGTCGAGAATTAATGTTTTTCGGCGGACGTTGATCAACATAAACTAACATAACATTCATTGATGCCCTTCTCAATGATAGTAAACGCTGAGGCAAGACTCTTGTCAGATCCAATCGAAAGGAAGAATGTTGACTGAGCGAATTAGATCTATTTCGATTTCTCGCGATCCTGCCATAAATCCAATTTAATGATAGGTTTTATGTAACTGAAAATTTAACGTTGATCATAATGTTGATCGGTTGCCTCAAACTTATCAATCCCAAAAACATATCCTCTTTCGAGATTAATACTGAACACCGCGTCTGAAAAACGAAAATTTTCGCTAACATCGATTCAAGTTTAACCAACGAACTGCGTGAATCGGGATACTAAATTTTTGAAATTTCACCAGGAACCTTGATGGGGCTGTAAGTTTCATTTAGTTTAAGCACTTGGACCTTACGAAGCAGAAAAGCACCAAGTCATACCGGCCATTGTCAAATTTTACCTGATGATTTCTTTATTTTACGGTATAACGGTTGCTCAAATTCTTTTGAAAAGATTAGGGATGTCCATCTGTGACGTGAAGCGAATTCTCAGTAATATTCGAAAGAATCTGCACAAAACTGTTCTCCCGTAAAAAAAATATACCCTCCGATGAAATTTTGCAATGGCTGATGTGACTTGGTTCCTTTTTGACGAACGCGGTCCATTTGTGATGACGTCCGACAAAGGACCGCTCAAGATGGGGAAAAAAGCTAACTAAGTATACTACAGCTTAGAGGGGTTAATTTAGCATCATTTTCCGCAATTAATAGTGAACGATTTCTTTGAAAGAGAGAATTTCAAAGTTAGAAGACGACAAATCGTTAATTTGAGATAAACGCAGATAAAATAGGGTGTCTAGTATCAGTATTTTCCCGGTTCTATCAGGATTTTAGGTCAATCAGGATTTCATCCCGATTTCATCAGGATTTGAGGAAAATCGATCGTAAAATCAGGATTTGAGAAAAGTCGGCAATCCGATCGGATTTTTTTTTATCGAGCTATTAATTCTAGAGTTCTGCTTTCGAATACGCTTTTGCAGAAATTTTAATTTTTCTCCGCAAAAAATCAAGATTTGGAAAAATTATGAAATCAGGATTTAGCAGTCAAAAATCAGGAAAAATCAGGATCTCGTCAGTATTTCTCAAAATGAAAAAAACTAGACACCCTGTATTTGCCGGACTCGCTGTCGCCAGCTTTAGAATGGATTATTTTCAAACATTCTTTATCGAGCGGAGTACCTAGAAACATTACGAAAATGTTTAATGAATCAGTGGTAAGCCTTCCGAATAAAGAATAAAGTAAGAGGTGAAGTCTGCAAATTCGCTAAAAAGGGATCCGCGGTTTTTGATGTTAGTAATAAATTGGCATTCTATTTTTCCGTGTCGATGAGAAAATGTGAAACGGAACGTGCTTCTCTTAATTTTTACTATAAGCTCACCTAAATTTTGGAAAGGAAAGTTCTTTTTTCGAAGGGTAAGTTTTTCGCCAAAATTTTAAGCGTCTAGAGGATGCCCCATGAGAGATTCACAGTTGCACAGATAACGCAACTGACGGACATGGCGTGACTTCTTCGGGGCGCCGTGATCTTAGATAACTATTTCGACTCGTTAGGAGTGCGTATTGCAATGAAGGAAATCATGCATTATGAGGTAACTTACGTTGCTAATTGAGACTGTATTGCGTACGCGATCAATTGAAGGCAAAAATCAAAATATTTTTGTGCTCTTTGCTTTTAACTGATGCAACAGGTACCGAAAGCTACATAAGTACGTAATCAAGATACCTACCTAATTCTTGTCATCCTTTTGTCTAATCAGCGAGGTAAGTAGGATGTGTTTGAAGTCTCTCTCAAATTTTTGCCTTCTTAATTTCAGGTACTGTTCCTTTTTGAGCTTCTACAAGTGAGGGGCTTGGAGGACAACGCGCATAAGTGCAGTTCTTCGTACTTCGAGAAAGATGCGTTTAAAGTTTCGAAATTACACGGATCCTTATGGCGGAAAGAAAGTTAAAACTGACTTTTGGATGCTTAAAATTGGGACTTGCTAGCGAAATTTTTACAGAATATGCATCTAGACTAATTTTAATTGAAATCATCAATATCTCATTTTTTTCAAAAACTGCACCTAAGCGTCTTTTATTCCAAGCCCCTCAGGTGTAAGACATATTGCTCAAACTCAAATTTCAAACTTTAAATTTTTGAAAATGTATTAATTGAAAATCGTTCTAATTTTTGCAGACTACGGACACCACGTGAAAGACTTAGTCCTTGTATCTTTACTATTATTGGCGCTTTCTGGCTGTTGGTACGCCTATCACACTAACAAAGTTTCGCGTCGGCACTTAAAACGCATGATGAAAGACATGGAAGGTTTGCACAAAGCTGAGCTCGCTCTCGACAACTTGCAGGTAATTCTGTCTTTTTATCATGTGAAATATCCCGAGTTTTGACAGGAATAATTCGCCAACCAGGAGCTAGAAATTTTTACTCAGTCCTCAGTCCATTGCTCAAAATTTGTGGCCTCTGATAGGACGCAAATGATTTTCTGTGGCTAATTTAATCTTATCGGATTTTGATTTTTTTCACAAATGGACCGCCTTTAACAGAAAGGATCCAAGCAGCATCATCTATTGTCAAATTTAACGGGGCAATTTTATTTTATTACAAGAGAATGTTAAAGCGGACTCATTTGAAAATTTTAAGGAATTTGCTTCGTACTTTGTAGAAAATTCACTGAAATTTGCACAAAAATCCCCACAACTGTTTTCATGTAAAAAATTAAATTGCCCAATTTTGGCAATAGCTGATGTGGTTGGGTTCCTTTCTGCTTAACGCTGTCCAAAGAGAAGGTTTGAATTAATTGGTTTTAATATTAAGGTACCAAATTCAACACTAAATTATTGCTCATGAGGACTCTTAAAATATCTTCAATACTTTCTTGTGACATTTTGATGGGGAAACTCATCATGTGGTACTCCAATTTTCACGCTGTCTATTAATCCACCCACTGATTACAATATTCCATTTCAGCATGATGTCTGCGTTCCGTATTGACAAAAACATAATTTCATCAATTGATTTGCTGTTGACGATTGGATTTTTTAACCATCACTTATTGGCTACATTTATGAATGTCCTAATGGCTCCTTTTCCTTTGATCTCCATTCGAACTTTGGAACCACTTAAAAACTAAACGAATTTTGCCATATACCGTTGACAGTAATGTTTTATTGCAGAGCCCCTGCCCTGAATTTATTTTTAATTTGGATCGAATGTATTTTTATCTTTGATTTATAATATCAGTCATCTTTATCGCAAATTTTAATCGGTTTCTTATGATTTAATTTGTTCATTTTGATAGTTGATCGTTAAAAACTAACCTTGCAAGCTGTATGTTTGCAGCACTTGCATTTTTTTTTGTTATGAATATGTTTTGTTCTTCTCTTGCAAATTCTGTATTGGACAAGTCAGAATGAAAAATCAGTTTAAGGAAAAGTGAAGCTCTTATTACTTTTATTCATTTATTTAGCTCAATTATTTTGGTAGGAAGCTATTGAACACGGTCTTAATTACAATTTCTGACTCTTTTGTTTGCCTTTCTTTAAAATTTCATCCTCAAAATAACATTTGCTTTGACTTAATCAACCAGTCTTAATGTATGATTCTTCATTTTTAACTGCAGAAAGAATTGGAGAGGGCAAAGCAAGAGCAAGAATTTGTCACAACTGAAAAACAGAACCTAGAAAAGCGTCTCAAGGAACAGACTAGCGATAATAGTGATTTGAAGACATCTTTCTCTGATTTGGAAGTGTCCCAACTGAAAGCTGAGATCGAAGTAAGTCCTCTTTTACGTCATCTTATCTCAATGTGTACTTCTATGGAGGTTATAGCACTGCAGGTGTTAACATGTTGCACACCTTCATATCTACATCACAAATCTTCCCCAGTGTCACAGCATTCCCCCTTCCCTCCCCTCCCCCCCCCAAAAAAAATAATTAAAAAAACATTCAAAATTGCATTTTCTTGCTAGAGCCAAGCTGGTTGTGAGCTCTAAGCGTACACAGTGACCAACCCAATCACCCCTTCCAGTCAAAACAACCGGCATGGCGCTTGCTGAACCTTTCAATCTCCGTCAATTTGACTAGCATGGCAGGTAAAATGTTAAAGGACTACTTTCAAAGAGGCATTTAGTCCGTTCCACACTAGAAAAACGGCCAACAGTGTGGACTCTCTGAAAGTTAAACGGCACCAATAATCATGTTTAGCACATCAAACATGTTTAAAATACATTTTGAAACGCACACTTTGAGTAGTTTGTCTTAAGAATTTTCAAAACCTTTATTTTGGTCGCCAGGAATCAGGGTTGTCAAGAGAGAAATATAAGAGAACCCAGCCTACATAAACAACCAATCTTGCAAACTGTCATCAATTTTTCTGATGAATGATTTCAATTGTCTTGAAGCACTTCTTCTCTCCTCGTTTCGAAGAAAAGTTCGGAAGAATCTTTTTAAGACTATTGAAATAATGGGTGAGAAAGACTGATAACAGTTTGCAAGATTTTCTTTTTCGTTAAAAGTTTTTACTGCTCTCTTTGTGCAAACTTGATTACCGGGGATAAGAAAATAAGTGATTGCAAATAGGGTGGATTTGAAAATGTTCGATTTCGCATATTGTGTACATATTTTTAATAAAATTTTAGACATTCCTGATATACTTTCAACAATTTTTATCGATTATCACCTATTAACAAGTCCACTCAGTTGGCCATATCTCCTATGAATAATATACCTTTTGTTTTCCTGAAATTTTTTGCACAACTGTATCACCTGAATCTGCAATCTCCACCATTTAATTTGTCCACATTAACATGAGATCTGAAATTAGGTAGAGTACTTTTTAGGATACATTTTAAAATGACACTGCAAGTATTCTCTGTAACTAATTTTCATACTATGATTTACAGGCCCTTAGAAATGAATTACAGAGAGCTGAAGGCGAATTGGAAGATCGGTGTTGGGCGCCGCCTCCAGGGCTTCAGCATTGGCTCCAACTTACACACGAATTAGAAAACAAATCCTACGTCAAAAAGAAAATCTCAGCTGAAAAACAGTTGCAACAGGCCAGAGAAGCCGTAAGTTTTATCCTTATTTCCTCTTAAATTTATTGTTTTGTGATCGTCCTCAGGAAAAAGACTTTAAGTGCAGAAAAAATAAAAATGAAGGTAGCGTAATTGTACATTGCATGGCAAAACTATAAAGAAACATTATTTTGTTGATTTTTGTGTATCTCTCAGTACCCAGTGAAAATTCACCAATTTAGAGAAAGCTAAACGTTAATGATTATGTATTCCTTGGAGGAGTTATTGGCAATTTCATTCAGAACCAATGGAACATTTACAACAATGGTGCCTTATTTTAACGTCCCATGGATTTTTGTGATAGTGGCTCTCACAAAAATTCTCCTAATTCTATCGGCAATGCTAGTAATCGTGACTACTCTATTGTATTTTAAGATTAATATTTCATATTTTATTTTAGAGCATGGTATCTGTTGAAAACTCAAAGTTCAGATTTCTGACAAGACCTTCCAAAAATCATTTGATTTATATTTTCTGCTACAAAGCACAAATCGGAAACTTTTTTTTTACTTTGAAAAGGCACAGTATGAGATTTCTAAAGGTTTGTTTTGGTTTTGTTTGGATCCAGAATCCAATGCTTTTGCACCCTTAAAAAGAATAATTTGAATAGTTATAATTAATGATGAATATTTTGTTTCAGTGTGAAAAACTGAGGAAAAAACGTTCTAGTTTAGTTGGTGCCTTTGTTTCAACCCATGGGAAATCAATAGATGACGTGGACAGAAGTATAGTCGAAGCCAGGTAATGCGTTCAAATTTTCTTTCTTAAAATCTACGAATTTTAGTGGCAGAGTCCTCATTCTTCAAATGCACTTGATTCTCTTAAACCTCTTACATGTGTCTTAACTTTCAGAGTAAATTTTTGATGCACTGCTAATTTCAGATTTTCACTGGAACGAAAGAATTTTTTTTTCTGATTTATGAAAAAAAAAAAATCAGCGGTGTAGCTGAATATTCATAAGCAGATATCCCTACTTTATACAATTTTAAAGACATTCATAAAGCACAGGGCCTAAGGATATTCATACTTTTTTTCTCCAGTGCTTCAGCAATGCTCTGTTATTAGCTCTGGAACACTGGTCTGTAGGTCAGCCTTGAGTGGTCTACAAAGGTCTCTCCTACAAAACCAGAGATTTTCCTGAAAATATGAAAAAATGGCAACTGACAAACTTTTTCTGCCTCAGAAAATCTTTTGGCCATGATTTGTTCCTGTCAAATTACTAAGCAATCAGAATGTTCCCATTAAATATCTATTACATCAGAGTGTTCAACAGATGTAATTTAAAAACAGGTCTCTAATTTTCGAAAGTGGTATGTATCCTCTTTTTTCTGTAGATAAGCGAGTTACAGCTGTCATAGGTTTGGATTGGTTGCTTTAGCAAGATGTTGAAAGATTCATTAGTCAGTATTTTCTGTCATAATCTGCTCAAATGGCTTAATTTGTTTGAAAGGCTCCACGACCACTCACAGCCAGCTTTGATTATCTCTATAGTACACCACTATAAAAGAAGAGGAACACAGAATTTAAAAATCATTGATGACAGCAACATTTTCTCATGTATCTGATTTATGGTGCTTGTCTGTTGCAGAACATCTTTGAATGAAGTGACGCAAGAATTAGCAGAACGAGTTCACCGGTGGAAACAAATTGAACTCCTTTGTGGCTTCAATATTATTAACAATAGTGGATTAGCATATTTAGAAAATATGCTGTATAGAAATGTAGCCAATGGTAGAGGCTTTTCGCTCAGAAGTAAGAATCTTTTATTAAAACAGACTTTTCATGCACAATATCATGTATTTAATGGGTTGTGTGAATCTTTAGGAAGTTCAAACCAGCTCAAATTAGACGACTGATCTGGACTCTGCTTGATATTAAGCTTCCAGTGCGGAAAATCTGAACTTCTTAGTGCAGATTTTCATAGTTTTGCGGGTACTTGATAGAATTTCTGCAATTTTGCAGGTGCTCGCCAGAATTCATGGTTTTCTGGAAGTTCTTTTGGATTTTTGCATAATTTTGCCAATTTCACAGAATGCGCTCCTAATTTCGAGCACTCTTGCAAGTACCGGCGTATTTTCCCGGTTTTTCACAGATACTTGCAACAAGATGTAGATTTGAATAAAAGGAATGAAAGAAAAACAAGCAGAAAAATCCAACATGAATATGTTGGAAAAGCGTGCTGAATAACTAAAATGTTGGACACATACCTACTATTTTCACGTCTTTGTTATTTGCATCAATTGGTACTTTTTGCTAAATTTGGGAGAAAATATTGATTCATGAACGTTGAATGTAAATTGATTTTAAAGATTCCGTCCAATTATCTTGATTTTAAGCTGATATGCGGCATTTCGCACGACCGTGATTTGGACGAACTGCCGTGCATCGAAATCGCGTTGAGTTAATCTCTTTGGATTTCGAACTGTAACTTCTCTCCTATTCGGCCGATTTTTACAAATGAGGTCTCTTTTTATTTGTACTTTAACGGAAAGTAAGGAAAAACTCGCTAAATAGACGGGAAACAATTTTTGTGAAAATTTGGTGGATCCTGGCGTCACGGTGAATGGTTAATCGGGCGTGGAAGATAATAGGTTCGACGAGGCGACCCTCTCCTCGCCGTCTTTTTTTGCCTTGCTCGAAACCTGACACCCAAAGCTATATCGGGAGATAACTGCAGTGGTTTGAGTGGATTTCTGCAGGGGCCACGGTTAGTACATGGTATAAAGAGTCACGAGGCTCATCACAGATTGCACTTGCAGTGCAAGACGCTCATTGGCTAAACAGTTTTGGCGGGAAAGAAGGTTCTAGAGTTGAGTCCTCCGAGCGTAAGAAAGCTTCTATGAGGTTTTTGTCTAATGAAATAATACGGTTTTGACAGGAAAATGTTCTCAAGGGTTCCCAATTAGCAGTTCATTCGGTTTTTTGGTAAGAGACCATCAGGGCTTGACAGTATAATGGTTCAAAGACAAGAAAACGGGTCCGAGGAGAAAAATATTTGGACGGCCCGTTGAATAGCATTGGTTGATCGGTGTGCTGTACTATGGTGCATCCGAGTGATTTCAAAAAGCGAGCCCTACTGGCACGCTTAAAATTAAACAGAATGAACCTGATCAGGACACGACGCACGGAATTTCTGCACCTCTGTAGATATTCCGTGGTATTTAAAATCCATTGTGGTTCTTGATGTATCCTGTAACTGTGAAGTTTTTCGAAACCGAATCCTTTTCTTCTGATCCATCTTTTTTGAGATCTGGTACCAGATGGGCCAATTTTAACGAAAAGAGGCCAAAAACTGATGTCCACTAGGGCCTCAAGTCGCAGGAAGTTAGTACCGAGGACAAGAAGAGTCTTCACGTTTTACTCTTCCATAAGACTAAATGTTGCGGGAAACGTTTAACTAAGTGCGACTATTTTCATGCTCAAATTTTTTTTTTCAATTTTGAAATTTTGGCAGGAGGAAATTTACATCTAGTCAAATCTAAAATTACTCCTAACTCATTTTTACAAAATATAACTTGGTTCGTTCCTTCAAACTTAGTCCAAATCGACATGCAGACTAACCAGTCAATGTTGAGTTATTGAATTTTGAACTTTGTTGCCTTCAAGTTCAGTTCATCCAACTCAAATAATATTTTATGAAGAGAAGGTTCACTCTCTGCTGTACGTTTCTGTTTAAAATAGGTCCTGCCTATGCTTATTTGAGAGTTCAGTTTGAATGCTGTAATATTTTGCCATGTATTACAATAATCTTCATCTCTCTCTTTTCAGGTCGCATGAGCAGTAGTCAAGACGATTTAGATGATGACTCAATGTCTTACTCAATGTCTCAAGGTAAGTTTGATGATGAATCAACTGGCTATAATTCGGACTACAACTAGGCCTTTCGCCGTAGAGAGTAGTAGCATTGTCGTTTTGCGTGTGATAACTCATCCCTGTGTGCGCATCGTCCATTTCTGCTTGATCCGTCATCATCTCATCACCTTCATTTGTTTTGCTGTGGCCATCCCTCATCGCGAGACCCCAACCCATATTCGGTGTGTTAGCAGCATCCATGTGGTGACGTCTGTATCATCTGAAAATGTCACTACCATTCTAAAGAGAAAAATTGTCCTTAATGAAGGTTATGTTGTGTATTTCTCTGTGAGTCACTAACCAACTAGACAGGGTCTAACTTTATGAGGTGCATTGTATGTTTTCGTTCGAATTATCTGAATTCACAGACCCTGAAAAACATTATCATTTGGCTCAGCAATTACTTCAAGAAATTTCTCTTGACCCAAGTGATTTTCATAAAAAATCTTGATGAAGAATCATGTAATGTATCGATGTATCGATTCTAACCCTGTCTGGTGAGTCATTTCTCTGAATTCTTAGTCTAAAATTTGATCGTGTCTGTTCGGGTGCAACCAAGGTCAAATCACTTTGAGTAAATGCATCATGATTACCAAAAGCAGTTACTAAGATCACAAAAGCCATAATAGTTATACTGATCATTAGAAATGTTGAAATTTGTTACTTACAAAAATTAAAGTTTGATTGTGATGAAAGCACATCTTGAAAATGTAATTTTAACCGGAGTCCTTTCCAATGATGGGTTTAAAAGTCTACCTGCTTGGGGCAGCTAGTCGAAAACTTTGTGATTTTTAAAGAGGAAGGTAGGAGGGAGGAGAGCTTGAATTTTCTTCGAAAAATTTACAATACATTATAGCTAAGTTCCGAATATTATAATGCCAAGTGCAGAGAATCTCGATGAGCTTTTTTCGTGTATAGCTGAGCAAACATATTAGCGTCTAATTCTAATGAATAATTGATACCTTTATCGTGATAGAATTGAAGGATCTTCCTTTTTTAAGCGGAAATTCTTAAAATTTGTCAATTTTGCAAATTTTGTATGTAATCCTAATTTTTTTATGTCTCTGTTGAGACAACAACGTATCTCTTTTTAATGAAATGTGAGAGCTTTGTTGATCTTTTTTTTTCTGAAAAGCCTTAAGTTTTCTGGGAGAAGACAAGTGTAAATTATGCAACCTTCCGCATCATACCATTTCTAATTTATGAATTTCATGTCTGATCGGAGAAAATTTCCAGAGTGTGCAAAGCTTCATGTTTGCTTTGCAAAGCACAGAGCAAAGTGTAAGCTCTAGACCTGCTCTAAATCCCCACATTTTGAAGTGCAGTTGCAATAACTTAGGAGGTCACTCTTGCTGCTAAAGAGCCCAAACCCTGTTAGTTGATTCTTGCCCCTTCATAAGAATGAAGAATTTGAGCTATAATCGAAAATTTTAAAGATAGCAGGCTCATGCAGCAATTATTACCTGTCAGAAGTCGAAAGATCATACGAACTGGCCATTTAGAGCCCTAGAATCTACGAATACAAGGAAGTGAAATTAAAAGTTTTTAAGTATTTAAAGTTCACAGAATATTGCTGATCTGGTGGTCATGAGGGCCAGGAATAGTTTCAAGGTATTTTCTGGAAGTTTTAATCTGTTTTCTAATAGGTTAGGAAATTTTGAAGAATGGAGAATGTTAAGAATCGTGTGAACAAAAATTCTGCAAAAGATTCAGGTTTTCAAATGCAAAGAAAATGATTGACGAATCGTGTACATATTTAAGGAAGTATCTCATGCGACTATTGACTTTCCTCGTATAGGGTGTTCGGAAGTTAATGGGCATTCCTTTGAGAATTGAGTTTTGAGGCAAACTTTTTTGCTGTATGAAAGTGTCTATGAGAATATTTTTCTTCAGTGCTAGTGTCCGTCAAAGTTGTGAATTTTTTCGGATATTTGTTCATAACTCCTTTTCAAAAGGTTAAATGTCAGTAAACATTGGATCTAAGGAGTAATTTTAGCATATTTTCAATTTTTTGGAGTACTAAAGGCCTTTGATTTTATAGAAAGGCGGTATGCAAATTCTCTTAGTTAAGCAAATATATCTATTTTCAATATATTGATCTTGACCACTGCCTCTCCATGGAAGCATCGACCTTCGGAACTACATAAAATGAAATATAGACTGAAAATTTTTCACTTAAATCAAGTTTTCATTGACATTTGACGCTTAGAAGATGAGTTATGGACAAAGGACCTTGCACACCTCTTATGGGAAGCTGCACCATGACCGAATACTAAATTATTTATGTCATTCGATTCTCCTCAAGATGCTGATCAAAAGTTATAATTGCGCCAACTTTCTACGATGCACCGTTTTCGCAAAAAAAACCGCCGAGAAGATTCAATTATTTGGCGATAAAAAGCCAGAAAGATTCCTCATTTCGGTACTCGATTGGCAAGCGGCTGTGTGTCAACAAGGAAATCATGGGAACTCTCGCACCTAGCGGCAGTCTTATCTCAGATTCCACACGCCGTTTTGCTTGACCATCCAAATCAGATTCTTGAGGAGCACAAGAACAGGAAAGTCGGAACGTCAACCGGACGAGAGCGGGAGGGAGATAGCCCCAGAGTCGGCAGGAACAGATAAGAAGACGGACATGCGCTACGTTTTTTCCTTATTTACATCGGGCCTGTTCTCAAATGCTTTGTTCGTTTTTATTCATTGTCGCCGAATAATTGAATCTTCTCGGCAGTTTTTTTTTTTCAACAATTGTGCATCATAGAGAGTTGGCGCAATTATAACTTTTGATCAGCATCTTGAGGAGAATCGAATGATGTAAATAAATTGGCATTCGGTCATGGTGCAGCTTCTCACAAGAGGTGTGCGGGGTCCTTTTAAAAAGAATCCACAACTTTAACATGTTTGGTGTCGAAAAAAAAAGTATTCTCAAAAAAATTTTGATTAAAAGTCTCACTGTGACCCCAAAAATCAATTTTGAAAATATAGTGTATTAATTCCTGGACACTCAATACTTATGTATGCACATCATCATTATTTTCCCATGTGTAGTATCAGATTTTGCCACAAATATAAAGGTACAGATATAAGTATTCCAAGGTATGGGTAAATTTATTCCATTCTCAAGGGTGCGTAATCGTGAGTTTTAAGAGGATTTTTGGAAGGTAAGCTACTTTCAATGTTTTTAGATTAAAATCTGACTAAAAAATGCAGCTAATCAAAAAATCAGTGTTTTGCACACACTCAGATAGCTGCTTCACACTTTGTTTCGTGCTTTGTGAAGCAGACTGTTGCTTCGCTTCGCCTTTGCTTCGATTTTAAAAAGCTTGTTGTGCACACTCCTGTATTCAATCTCCTGGGACCCAAGTTTTATGCTTTTGGTTTCCTCTTAAAAATTTCCGTACTTTCAACAATCGTGACCCGGGCATTAGCCATGAAAATCGAATTTCGGGCGGAATTTAAAATAAAATGAAATTCCAACTGTTTCTGAATGTCCTATTCAAAAGCATTTTTTTGAAACACAGTATTCAAGAGATAGTGAAAGTTGTCTACTTATGAAATTCATCATGGAAAAAATACCTTTCTGTGCTTAGAAATTTGAAAAAACTTTCTCAATCCTTTTTGTCTGTGTAGTTAGAGCTTTATTTTCTCATGTGTTCTCTCCGAAATTTAATGTATTTTTCGATTCACTTCTCAAATCATGGTTACGTTTTCTCGTCTCTTCTTTCCTTTTTTGTGATTGCGTATGAAATGTACTTATTCACACTGTCAGAAAATTTTCATCTAGATATTTAAGCTTATTTCGCTATCTTAGTTTTATTTCTCTCTATTTATTATTTGTTTGTTTATTAATTTATTTCCCTTCTTTTTCTTTTACTTAATTATTCCCTATTGTTTACTTAATTATTATTTTATTTAATAATTTATTTATTTTTTCGTTTTGTTTTCTGTTTTTCTAATAACCGCTTACATCCCATATTTCAAGCAAGGAGAGATACTGGGCATAAAGAGTGTGCTACCTCTCTGTGCGCTTTTAAAGTTTCTGAGATAGGTCAGGTCCCTCATGGTAGATTTATCAGTGAGTATTTCAGGGGCGCCTATCAGTGCTAAATAGTTCTTCAGAAAGGAGAGCTTTAGTAATTTTAACCATTTCTTCTTTTCTCATTTTTTAAGTGACTTCTCACGCCCTCCTTCTGCAGTATTCACCCTAAACCCTCTCCTTTCAATAATTGTGATAAACGTGATCTACATTAATAATTTTGTACAACACTCTTTATTTGAGCTGCACAGTTCCTGAATGTTTCTTAATATTCGCTCCAACTTTATTTCTCTCAATCTGAAATGATTTTTATCAGGCTGCACTTCATCAGCTTTTTATTTTTTATTTTTAAATTTATTCTACTTGTTTTTGACTTGCATTATTTCAATTTAGTCCAACCTCACCAAAAACAAACGCAATATCTCCCTTTCGATCGTTAAAAAATTTTTGCCCGAATTCTTAAACGCTTTGATAATTGATCGAAGATTTTGACCTGCAATAAAATCATGAATTTTTAAGCTTCTTAAAAATCAAATTTTAAAGTATTCCTAGCTTCTAAGTCGTTTTAATTTGTTCTCGTTTTCGCATTTCCGTGCCAAAGAAAAAAAAACTGATCATGTGCCAATTGGCTGATCTGCTTTTGATCTTGACATTCTTGAACTTTTCAGCTCAAACTTTAAAAGTAGGAAAAGATTGATTTTTTCAGACTTGACATTTGTTGTAATCAATTTTTTTTCTCATAGGTTCATGTATCGTCTCTTCCCATTTTAATTTATTTTCCAATTACAAAAGCTCTGGACTTTTGATTTTGTAAATGTTTTCTATGTTAATTTTTTATTTTAATTATAATTGTAAAAAACCTTAATTTTTAATTATGTTTCCTTTTTCACACACTAATTAACTTTTAATTTGTCTCAGTCCTACTTGTTTGGTCTTAGTTTTTGTTTAATCAAAAATGATGGGATGTGCAACTTTTTTTTTTTAAATAAGGGCCTATTACATCCATGTGTAGAAGCAGTAATTAGTAACCTTTTACGACCCTCCCAACATAAGTGTATCTACCAAAAGTATGATATATAGCGTACAGGTCCAGACAAATCCTCAGCTGTTAATTAGATATATATTTTTTTAAATCCTTTTAGGTTTGGCTGAAAGGATCTTAGTCTTATTTTTAAAAGATACGTTTAGTTAATTCCTAGCTTGACTTTCACAATACTCTCTTCTACTTAATAATCAGGACTCATAAAAATCTTTAAGTTTTCCAAACTTAGACTCAAGGCAGGGTCCTGCCGTCCTCCCCCCCCCCTCCTCCCACATTTTCAGAAAGGAAAAGAGAAAGCATGAAAATGGCTGGAAAATGCATTTTTATCAAAAATTACCTATTATTCTTTTTTTTTTTTTTTTTTAAAAAAAAAAAGCTCGTGTTAAACTGAGCTTGACTCCCTTCTCCCCAGAAAGACCTTGCATGGCAAGCTCAGACCCTCCCCCCCCCCTTAAGTAGTTTATGTAATACTAGAGCTGCCCCTGAACTTCAAAATCCATTGCAATGGAATTATAATGAACATAACTTGAGTGTCTTGGTCGTAGCAAAGTGAACAGAGGCTAACTTTTCATTGAAGCCTTATTAATAAATGAAAAAATAAGTCAAGACTAACTTTACAAAGTGGAAAAAGGTGCTAAGATAATGTTCGGTATAACCGCAGGCATTGAAAAAACCCCCAGCAAAACAAATAAAAAAAGGAGAGACTCAAAAAATTTTAAATCATTCTTTTAGATTGTGCATTTTTTAATTACTAACCCGTAAAAAAAAAAATCAGTTCATCGGCTTGAGTGGAGTATCTTCAACCTTTTTGCATTTTAAGGTGTGCACTAACTGACGGAATAATGAACTAAGAATTTAACCTGGTAAGGATCATCATAATTTCATGCAGAATTTGTTGAACATATCAAAAATCTTCCAAACCAAGTCATCAACTTTTATTTTTTACTTTAAAGTTGGTGGAATCCAACTTCCTATCGAAGACAGAACCAAAACCAGCCTAAGTTAAATAGATCATCAAAAAGAAACCTGTCCCTGGACAAGTGACTAGAATTTAGCTTCACTAGATTTTCCCTTTCTCTTTAATATGCCGTACTCATAAGCTTGTCAACCAAAATCCTGCCTACTGTGAACATTATTTTAAAATTGAGTCGATTATTTTCCAAAGCTCGCAAGCGCTGAAATTGAGAATGTGAGGAAAACAAGAAAAACGGTTTTATTTGCTTCGGGACAATCTTCAAATTCCCAAAAATGTATGTCCTTTTAGAGGGCTATTTTGAAATCAGACATGATTGATTATACCAGAGAAAACAAAGAAAAAACAACCCCACCACCACCAAAATAGAGATCGGCGCTTATTTGATTTGGAAAATAATGGGTTTAATTGTCAGTGCCTTCACTGCGTTCCACGAGGAATCTTGATGAGACTACAAGTCATGATGTCTGATTTCTAGCCTTGTTTCATGGTCAAATTCATTTTTATTTGACAATTTTTATGGCAATGACTTACTATTCTTCTTTTCCTATTTTGAGTTGAAAAACTCCAATTACCGATAGGAAAGTGTTGTTGACACTCAAATTGAATTTCTGATAAAGGATGGCTTCGTTTTTATCTTTAATTTTGGGGATGAAAGTGGGAATTGTAAACCCTTAATTTATTAAAGGACAAGTCATGAAACTCTTTATTGTACCATTTCCTATTGAAGAGGCAAATCTACTTTGAAGTTTGGCTCAAAGTTGTTTAGCTAAGTCAGTTCATTCATTTAAGCAACCACCAGAGATGGGAAAACATTGTGTGCATGATCACCGAATTCTATTGACAAGGAAGTGATCATATGATCATAGCCATGGTGATGTCATACACTGCATACGCAGTGTATTCTCACAAGTGAGGGAAATTACCTCAATCTACTACATGATGATCATCAACTTGTGCTTGCACACTGGTGACTCTACCAGCACTCGTTCTTTGTAATTCTAATAAGTTGTCGCACATTTTTTCTGACCAGACTGATTAAGGCACTTTGATGTTAGTATCACTGAGCGGCAGTTTCATTGACTAGCTTCCATAGCAAATTAATTTGTATGTAAAAAAATAGGAAAAAATAACTGAAATTAACTTAATAAAGAAAGTTCAAAACAACAGATCAGACACAATTTCAGTTTTACTGCCTTTAACTTGTCAGCAACAGAGGTGCTTTATAGCAAACACCACGGTGGGATAAGCATATTGTCCAGAGCTGGCACCTAACATATCCCCCAATCACATTTCCTTTCATTTTGGAGCTTGAGTCAGAATCCGCGTCACAGTTTGATTTTTTATATATATTGTAGAGCTTTAAGATCATAACTGGAGGATAAAAGGTTTTAAGATTGCTCTGCAGCTCGACGTTCACCTTTCAGTAACAAGTTTTTGACTCTGTCCTCAAATTAAGAGCATTGTTATTTGTCAATGGGCTCCTGACATTATTCCCAAGTGTCAATGTAAAAAATTCATGAAAAAATCAGTGAAGTCAGCAAGTTTTGAAGAGTTTTAGTGATTGACTCGAATGCAGGACATAAAGCTGTTGAGCAAAAAAAAAAAAAAAAAAAAAAAAAAAATACTTTTTTATTTTTCTCCAAACAGCTATGTACAGTTTGACTGCCCAGTTTTTTGAAAAGTCTTTCTAAAGATGCTTTCTCTTTCTATTATTGAGCATACATTTTGCCTGAAAATACTTTATTATTTTTTTTTCAATCCAGCATGAATTATTAATAATGCAGTATCCATTTACAGGCTACGCTGAGTGAGTTTAATGCAATTTTTTTTTTTTTTAACTTAAACACATTTAGGTAGCTAGTCTTTTCAGTTTACCCATAATTATTTTAAATTCAAGAGTAGTGCATGCGCACTGAATGTCCTCTAGCCTCTGCATGAGAGTAAAATTTCTAAAGCATGAAAATCTAATGTATGTATTTCTGTTTCTCTTCACTGGGCACATGAAACATTCTGCACTTTATAATTTCTGAAGTAATTTTTTTTTCACAAATAATTAATTTCAAACTCAGTCAGGAATGCAGAAAAATGGGGGACCGCAGGCTTAGTTCGCAAAGACAAGGGTTTGGACTGGTACAGCCTCTTTTCTCTTGCTTCCATCGTGAAGGCATTTTTTTATTCTTGGAAAATATCATGCATTTTTGGTAATTTTTTTGCAAAGCTCTTTCGAAGTTTGAAAGTTGTTTTCAATACCGGGAGAATTTTTTAGAAAATATTTCTCGGATCTAAACTTGAACTCCTTGTCAATCAATTTTCCCTTCATGTTTAAAATATAAACAAAGAAAAATGAATTTTCATTTATTTATGCTTTTTTTCTGTTTCATCCTGTCTCTCTAGATTGTTAACTTTTGCTTGCATTATAGAATTTTTTTAAATACTTTTTCCTTTCTTTGTCCACTGACGTCTCGTTCATGTTTTGTAAACATGTGAAATTGCACTTCACATATGAAAAGGTAGTCATGTGTAGTGAACATGTATGAAAAAGTTGTCTTGAAGGCTTGCATCACCCTACAATCAGTATTGAAAGACCCCACCCCCTTTTTTTTCTCACCATTTTTTTTTTTTGTCACCTCCTGTAGGAAATATAGGCTTTAAAAGTCAGAAAAAAACCCAAAGCTAAGGGTACATGTGGTCATAATTAAGTTTTAGTTTTCATTTGGCTTGGGTGTAACATTGATCCTTCATTCAGGGTTTATCAAGCAATTTTTGCTTTCAGTTTTTAATTTTCTTTTCTGGTTCTTAGGTTTGTATTGTATCCAATTCATTCTAGATCGTAAGTATTTTTCTCTTAAAGCAGTATGCAACGCATAATTTTTTTTTTTTATTACTAAAGATTTCTGTAAATAGGGATGATGCAATCTCTTTCTTGTCTCTTGATGTGCATTATGATATTTTTTTGCTTTGTTGATCCTCTTTCATGTTTCTTCCATCTTCAAGCTTAACGATAATGCAATGTAACCCTCATCAATGGTTATTCAACTACAAGCTGGTTTTGAGAATACAATATACATCATGTTGTACAAATATTTAAAGTATTTAATGTAAAAATTCAATTGAGTTGAATTTCTTCTCTTGGTCAAAATTATGGCCTACAGGGTGAAGCATATCCCTCTCTTTAATACATCGAATTAAACGATTCGTCTTTTAGATGCATTTCCTGTAGCAGATTTTCCACCAGTTGGGAATCACATAACAAAACACAATGAATAACCACTTTTCTTGTTCAAAAAGTGAGGGTTAAAACCTTTTTTTGAACTAGTTTGAATGTTAAAATCGGGGGTTCGAGCTAATATACAGATATTAAAAAGTACCTTATAAAACCTTCCATTTTAAAACCCTCTCATTTAAAAACTGTCTCCTATTGCTGTAAAATTATGTTATTCAAACTCTTTAAATCAAATGTAGCATCTCTATATGATGAAAAAGAAAAGAGAGACATTTTTTTTAATTACTTAGGTACTTCTTTTATCCACCAACTGGATCCTCTATCAATGATCCATGTTATTCTATGACTGCTAGAAATGCCTAGACCCTATAACTTATCCTTTCTGATTATCGCACGCACTATAAGATGTTCTTGCATACTGAGGGCTCTGCCTCTTGTATATTATATTCCGGCCTTGGCTGACGGACTTTATTGAACGATTAATAAGTAATTAATATGTAAAGAAAGCAATTCTCTGAAATTCTGCTTAATTCTTCCATCCTTTCTGTACTGACTATTTGATGTATTTTGCATTCTGGCATTGTCAAGCTGATTGGTGCATTTACCTCTTTGTGGTTGTGGTACTAACCGAATGTAAATCTCTAAACTACTGTTGTAGACTTTGGCGATTTTGAAAGTTCATCTGTAAGAGAGGATCAAAACTCATCTGAAAGTGAGCGGTTCGATCCCGAGGACGAAGATGAAAAATCTCGCCATTCTCAAGTTCAATTTATAGTAGGAGGTGACTCGTAAGTATTTTTTACTTCATCAGTAGCCTACCAATTTTTGACAGGTATCAAGTGAATTTTTGTGATCAAGTTTGATTCTTTTTTCTTATTGAGATGGTGTTGCATTGCTCGAGCCACAAACGAGACGACTTTAAGAAGTCGGGGATAGATTTTCTTTGTCTGCCGCTCGTTGATCAAGGATTGTTCCAACACAGTCTTAAATTCACCTCCTTACTTAAATTCTGAGTGAGGATAGTAAGGAAAACTGTTCTGTACCAAAAAAATGTGTTGATCGTTGTAACTAAACCTTTCTCAAAGTGAACTTGGTTTTGTTGTGACAAATGTTTGCATCTGCACAATTTTATTTGATCTCTAACATTTGCATATCACTTGGATTGAGAAGAAGAAACACTTTTAAAAGGAAGTATTCCATTTTTGAAGAGGCCAATTTAAATTGTTGTCCTTTCTACATCCTGGAGTTCATTTTTCGTTGAATCTATACAAGAAAACCAACAACATGCAAAGAAAAAATTAACCACACAGTTCGAGCAATTTAAAATTTAGAGATTGAAAACAGCCATTGTGTCTAAGCACTTGCCTGTGTCAAATGCCACACCTAAAACTAGAAGTAAGTGAAAATTAGTGATTTAGTAATTGTACCTATGTTGTATCAATAAGCATGACAGGAATGAAAGTCTCTTAGAGCTATACCTATTAAATGAGTGAAAATACATTTTTTAAGATGTGTAGGTAATATTGTAATTTCTTGTGGAAGAACAATAAATGCTAAATGTAGAAAAAAGAAAAGAAAGGAATGTGTTTAATTAATTTTTTTTTTTTTTTATCTTTGGTTTCTCCATTCAGAGGAGAGGCATCTATCCTCCTCATAATGATAATGCGTATTGAATAACATTTAATTAACTCAAAGACTTAAATTCAGTGCGCTGCTGGTTTTCATTTATGTATGTGATTGTGTTATATTTCTGATTTTAGACCAGTTAATGAGACATCGCCTGCTCAAAAATTAGTTCCCCAGCAATCAGATGAAGCGACAGCTGCGTCGGAGAAACAAGGGGCTTTGTCGCATAGTGACCGAGAAGCTTCTGTGCCTTACTTAAATAAGAACCAGAAATCGATCAGAGTAAGCCAAAACGTAGATGCAATGGCTTTGGAGACAGAGGTAATTTTTGATTTCTAATATTCCTCAAGAAACCATATTTATTGATTATCTAAGATGAATAATGGTATGAATGAGGCTTGCTGGCAATTTAATTGCCGAAAAGCTCTTTTTTATGGAAGCCTTGATGTTGAAAACTCCTAACAAAATTTAGGCATTCTGAACAATTTTACCACTAACTCTAACTACAAAGTAAGGGACCTCTGTAAGTTGCTTTATTCTCCCAGCACACTTGAATTCAGAGGTGTTGATTTTATTGCTTTCTTTGCATGAATTAGTCGTAAATTAACTTAAAAAAGACCAGAAAGCTTCAGAGGACCATTCATGATGCTTTACTCACAATTAAAAGCAGTTACTGAAAAATGAGTGCCAGTTCTGGAAAATCAATATTTTTAGGAAGCAGGAAAAATTTGTGCTGGGAGGGCGCAAGTCAAAATGGTAAAAAGGTTTCTGGTGTTTGAAGAATGGAAACAAAAGAGTCCAGAAGTGGAATGGTCATAGTATCTCAGCCATTTTTTTTTTGCTCTTTGAAAATCTTGTAGTCCATCAGCACCAGCTTTGAATCATTGAAATGGACAAGAAAATAATGAAATGGATGAGGAGATGATTGGATAGATATGTACGCATTAAGCCATTTATTTAGGGCACAAACTTTGTGATCTGTTCAGATATGTTTGATGCAGGTATGGATGAATGCTCCGCCCTCTGTTTCAAAGTGCTGAACAAACATCTATTTACAGTAGACTTTATACTAAGCTGGAAATGATGGTATTAGGCCAACAGAATTTAAAAACATTTGGATTTTTTAAAGAAAAGTTTGTCCAAAACTTTTGGACCACTAGCTTGTGTTGAATAGGACCTCATATAAAATTAGAAGATGAAAACAATGCATGCAAAAGAGAAAAACAAGAAACACTTGTAAAAAGCACTCAAGACTGTAATAAACTATCTAAAGCCATTTAAATGTTTTTATCTTCCTCTAGGTATATTTCATTTGCTTCATATAGTCCCGTTTCTACAGTGTCCAGTAAAACAAACATATTTGCGGAAGTGTGCCCTCCCCCACCCCATTCTGTGCGCTCAAAGTCATTGTTTTAGTTATTCTACGCTCGTATTCTATATGCCAAGGGCCTGAACAGAAAATTACCCCTAACTCAGCCTCTGTACGGCTAAATTTAAGCCAAATGCATCCTTAAAATAAACCATCTTTCTAAAAAGGTCCATTGTATGTGCGTCTCATCAGCTTAAAAACATGAAACTCAGCTTTTCCTTTTGGTTTAATTACAGTGCCGACCTGGACGTAAGCACTCGCAGACTTCGCAAACATCACAAGGATCAACAGAAAATATTGAGATTCTACCGCGGGGAAGGCGGCTGCATAAACGCAACGAACTCCACCAGTCACACTCAACCAGTGGCGTTTCATCTGCTGACGAGGAAGTTTTGGCAGGTGAGCTCCTTGCTTCTGCGACAGAAGACGTCAGTGATCTTAAGCGGCAGAAGAAGTCGCTTCTTCACTTTCCCAAATTCTCAAGGAAAGTTAAGCAGTCATCCAGTCCACAGCTGAGTGTGTCCTCGTCCTCAAAGTTGCCCACTTAGTATTGGTTCGTTAAGGGCTCAAGAGACCTGAGTGTAATGTTTTGTTAAGTTTTTGTTTTTTGGAAGCCATGCTCAAGAGGGACAAGTGCTCTTAAGAAAGAATGCCTGTGATAGTAGTAGCTTTGATTCAGGTCAGCAGAGGTGCGTTTATTATGTAGAGAAGATGCACAGATATTTCCTGGGGGAAGAATTCCATGATTTTATCACTTTATACCTTTTCTTTTTCTTGCTTTGTCCCAGTGTCCAAGTGGTAGTGAAGGCAATAAGTTGGGATTCGATCGGTAGATTATAGCTGCTTTATAAACGAAAATTTATATCAAAATTACCAGAACCAAAAATGGCAATTTATTGTGATTAAATTACTCTTCGATCAATGTCAATTTTAGATGATATTAAGGAAGAAAAAATAAATTGACGTAAAATTTCATTTTTATGAAAGTCTGATTTCATTGCAATGAGTCCGGATGAAAACACTCAAATATTGATAATTCTAGCAATTCTATTGCAATAAATAGTCAAGAAAATCATAACTCTTCCATCTTAAAATGTTACTTGGGTGGTGTAAATATGACTGAAAGAAGTTTCCGAGTTCATCTCTTCATATCCCAACTCTTATCAAAGAGAATAAAATGTTTCTTTTGAAAAATGTCAGCCCTCTAACCTGCTTCTTGATGTATTCATATCTATGAAAAACCCAAAGTATATTTTAGAGGTAGCTCTATAGTGCACCGCAGATTCAGTTCATATCTCCAATAAGTGATTCAGTTTTTTTGATGCGAAAAGATTTGATTGCCAATTTTTACCACTTATGTAATTATTGAAGTAACAATATTACAGCTTATTTTGAAGGAGAATCCATTGAAGCAGATCCTAACAGGATGTTCCAACTGGGAAGCAATGTCTGCAAAGTTTTTACTTCGAGTAAAAGGTTTTTGACTAGACTTGTCAATCCCATTAAGGTAGCAAATTACCCGAGTCTCCTAAAAATATTCATGAACCAACTAAGAGCTGTCAAAATTTCGTTCCTTGTAATCACTTATCATCAGCAGTAAAACATAGTCAAAAAAAACATTTTCCCACTTCAGTTTAACTAAATTTTTCTTTCTTTCTATCTATACAAATTTTAGTAAGCCTTTAATAATTGTAAGTAGTAGAACAGTTTTAAAAAGCCAGTTTATCACAATATTCACTTAATGTGTACTCTCAGAAGTACTTTAAGCAATTTCATCATCAAATTTTGTAGCCAAATCCCTGATGCATTGTAAAATATTTTAAATTTAGATTTTTTACCCTTTTAATTTTTTTAAAATGCCTGAACATTTTGGAAGGACCTATGATTTAAGTGATGGTGAAGTGCCGAACTCTTGCGCTATAGATTCATCCAAAGTTTAAAATTTTGTAGGTCCATAACAATATCAGATTTTTGGATTTTAAAAGTCATAACTCTATGCTCAGCATCTGTCCCTCTTGGGCAGCCAAATTTTTTATTCAAGCAGCTTTCTTCTGATATTGGAGAATATAACACCGAAAGCCTGTTTAATAGTTTTAGACCCGTGACTCTAGTTGTATAAGGATGTATGCCTAATTTCAAATTCCCACCCTAGTATTATTGACTGTTAAAATGTGGACTTCAAGAAACGGGGAAATAATTGTTAAAATGTATTAGGTGGCAAACCCTCCTAGCTTTTTTAAAGTAAAAATGTGAAATTGATGCTTATAAAAAGCTGTGCAAAATTTCTATCAAAGTTGTGTTAAATTCTGAAAATCTTTCATACTAATGCTCAACACAAGATAACGTGCAAAATATACAACATAAAAAACTAAAATTTTCTGTAAAATTGTTTTCAATATTCACTAAATAAAGTGATCTAAAACTTTTACAAGTCTAAAAGGGCATTTTCATGTAAAAAAGATCAAAAGGGGTTTCTTAACTTGGAAATTTTAATTGTTTTTTAGAGTTTTATCTTTGAAATTTACAATTTTTTTTTTTTTACTTTTTAATAACAGTCAATGCTACTGGGCAGGTTTGTAAGATGTAAAAAACTCATAGCTTTATTGTAACAACTCTTGTCTTAAGACTTTTTCCAGTGTGTCAGACTAATGGTAGCTAGTACAAGAAGTGATCGTGTAGTACGAGATTCACTGAACAACTCAGTATTTTCTGTTTATAAAAAACATTAGGTGAGGTGCGAACGGGAGCAAGATAAAAAGAAAATTAATACACAAAAGTTTTATCGATTGAAAATAATCTAACCTTAATGAAATTCCATTCTCTTGCTTCAGAGAAAAATTCTCAGCTTTGTCAATACAAAAATTATGACTTCGTAGCTATACTCAAAAAATGATTGTGCATCAAGATTCAGAGTTCATTTGAGGGTGCAGTAATCATTATGAGAGAAAAATTATGTGAATGAATTATAATCAATTACTTGATCAAAAGAGAAGTAATAATTTGGTTCCAATATTTTCTATGGCACCTCACTGAAAAATCTCATTCGGAGGTTCAAGGTCAATGAGGCGCAACACTGATTTTTACACTATGGTTTAAATCAAAGCAGTCAGGCTCAAAGTTGTTGGCTTCAAACCCTCATTTGCAAGCAACTGTAAGCATGTTTAACTTTGTTATTTGATTGTTGATCTATGGTTTGCACTTGTGAGGATCTGCAATTGCAAGAGGGTAGTTTTAAGACGTTAAAAGAAGAGTGTCTGACTTTTACACGTGGGACTCTCAACTAAGCTTGGAAGTTACATTGGTTTAACTTTCGGATGACCGCAGCTTTTGGGCCTGGGGGTCAGAATCTTGTAGTCCTTCCTTTTATGAATTGCGTACAATACAGTGGCCCGATTATTGAAACTATGTCAGCCCGACACGACAAGACATAGCCCTATCTCAACCATGCAATATATCGCAATTCGATGTCTTATCGGGCTGGTTTAAATTTTAATAATCGGCCCGCAGGTGGCTTAAGCCATACATAATATCTTATGCAAGGACTCAGATTGGCCATTGCTATTGATTTTAAGGTTCTGTTTACTTTTGCATTCATTTTAAAGTTGTAAAATTTGTTCCTGAATCACTTTTAAATGACTGTTAAAATTCAAGTCTGTGTGAAAGAAAAAACGCAGACATAACTAAGATTATTTAAAGGTAAAGTTGAACGGTTTTCAATTACTTTTAAAACTGGGGAGTGAAAGCTTTTGATGAACCCAATACGAAAGAAAGCTCTAAATTTTAGGCAGGATAGCAAGTGTCAGAGAAATTCTGTCCTTTTGTTATCTTAGGAGCTGAAAATTTTTATAGAGGTTTAGCTGAACCATCAAGTAAATTGGCAGTATAGAGTTTTACGCTGTATTTTTTAATTGCTTTTGAAGAATGTAATTGCAGCCTTAAGTTAAGGTTTTTGAGATGTTTAGCCTCTTTTTTTAGCAAAAGATTGATCCTATAAATTGTTTTACCCCCCGTTTTTTACTCTCTGTAGAAATCATCGTTCTTACTGCTATTTGTGGTACTTAATTTTTACTTTCTAGAGAGCAATTACTAAAGAACCTGTAGTAAAACATTTTAGGTTGTTTTTCTTTTTCCTTTTAATGCAGTTTCCGTCCGTTATCTTGTACTTTCCTACAAATGTCCGATACCTTTTTTTTTTATCATGGCTAAAAATTGTACTTACACGCAGTTGATTGAAGTCTGTTGTTTTTCATTCTTTGTGACACTATAGAGTGTACCAGGAGAAAGAATGGCTCACTAAAATCAACTGTCGGATCAGAATTTTTGCTAACAGCAACATTTATATGATATTTCTGAGAGGATCTCTAATGTTGATCCACAGTGCTTATCTCCATGGCTTTATTCGTTTCCCTTGTTTGAAAACCTCACAAAACAAAAAAGGTGTCGAGTGTCCAAGGCTCGATTTAACCTTTAAAACACTTCCCACATTAATCTCTGTGAAAAATAATTGCAGTTCTATTAATCACTGTGCTTCCTCCAGTTTCTTCCGTATTCTTTTAAAAATAAAATATTGTTAATTTATGTAGATAATATGGAACACTCTCTTGAAGGTAAAGACACTTTCCATTTGTTTTAACGCACATACTTTCCGTATCGAAAGAGATTGAATTTTTACTCTCAGTGTAGTTTTTTATCAATCAACTATTTAAACATAAACTCTGATAAGAAGGTGAATAAATTTTGAGTTCAGCATATCCTCCTTTCAAAAAGTTTGCACACTTTCGAAAGTCTCCAATTCTCTGTGACCGATTATCTTTCGAATGAAATATAAAGGAATATTCAATTGATGAGCCTCTCTAATTTGCTAAACCCTTTTTTTGTGGCTGATAAGTACCTCATATTATCTATAATCAGATAATCTATGTTGTTAAGCTCTGTCCCACATAGCACAGAATATTGATATAATACTACAATAGTACTGACACGTCAGTAGTGTCAGTATTTATAAAATGCTGATGTATCCTGATTTAATATTATATCAAGACTATGCCAGTATTTATTAGTTACTGATTTGGAGCTGTCAAAATATTGTTACAGTATTGGCCGAAAAGGTTGATTTCATATGGAAATCAGGGTTATGACAAGGTCATCAGAACACTGCAGGACACCGACAACATGTATGCATTACTACCTTGACACTGACACGTCTGTGCACTCAGCGCCCTCTGTCAAGTAGATATGAAAGTTCAGACGATGACCGTCATTTTCATAGTACTGCACATGTATTACATTTGAAACAAGAATTACACAAGTATACAAGTATTGAATATTATAAACCACTTACTTGATGTCCTGCGATGTTTAGTAGCGTAAAATACCCGGACGCCCTCGGGTGGATTTGAACCCGAACCGCGGAATTCCTAGCCCAGTACTCTGCCATTGAGCCACAGGGAGCTGATGGTGTTTCGGATTAAAATCACGCCTGTTAATAAGGCTGTTATAGCATGCATAGTATCAGTGCGCGGCTCGACTTTCATCATAACTTTGATTAACACCGTGTTTTCTTAGGCTTCTTTTTCTTCCTATATTTTTTTTTCATTTTTTCGTGTTATTTTTTTTTTTACCTCGTCAGCATTGACTCAATACTGTTGTTTGATAGGTATATTGAAGGTATCAGTGTTATACTTATGCTGACGCGGTATACCTTTTAACCGACAATCTTAATATCATACTGCATTAGTGTTGGTGATATCATGTCAACATCCAACAATATGTATCAGTATTGATATAAGATTCTGTGCTATGTGGGAGGGTTTTTATTTAAATATGTCCCCCAATAATAAATCATTATCTCACCAATTGGCTATCGAAGTTTTCCGGCAAGCACACAAGATCAATCTTAACCGATGAATGCATTGTTTATGCGCATCTCTCGTTTCACTTGATTCTTCTTTCTCAACTTCAGGTTACTTCAAAGTGGTTTGTTACTTCACCAATTGGGCCTGGTACCGACAAGGTTACGGGAAATATCTTCCAGAGGACATCAATTACAAACTTTGCACACATATTGTTTACGGGTTCGCTGTTTTGGATGGTGAAAACTACATCATTAAACCTCATGATTCCTGGGCTGATGAAGAAAATNCAGCAATTTTCTTGAGAGAGGTATCAAACAACGGTTTTCAGAGAAGGTTAGGTATCTCTGTTTTTGTTGAGATTGCAGCGCCAATAGGTCATAAAGTAAACTTGTAAAGTCTTTTCAAGAACTTATACCATTCTCTTCTCTAGCTTGACAGCTGCGTCTTCTAGATGTGACAGTTAAAAGAAGAAAAAATTGCCTTAAATCCTTCTAAATTTATTTACCTGTTCGATTTATACATTATCTGATAAGAGTAGAACTTTTTCTATTAGAAATCACATAATTACTCAATATATCTAAGCAATATTTCTGCCTTACACTGATATTTTTTTTCTTTTCTTTCAATGGTCAACAGAAATTGATGGGCAATTTTGTTTATGATACCTCGTGTGTAACTTTGCTTATTATTTGAACATGTAAAATCTGGCTGTATTTACTAGTTTTGGGGATCTTACAATTGTGTAAATTAATGATATGTCTTTTAATCATCACTAGTTTATTCTCTCAAGTGTTTTTGGAGTTTTCAGGAAGCTGTAGTAGGGTAGACTTACTCTGTAGGGCATGCAACATGTATTGATGACCTCAACAAACAACCTAAATGTAAAATTATGGCAAAGCCATTTCAGATTTTTTCTAATTTGAGTGGAATGCTCCTCTGCATTAGAGTTTTGCATCACTATAAAATTTGCAAAAACAAAAATGAAGGTATGATTTTTTTATTGAGGATGACAGATTCATAAATGCTGCATACATTTTGTGTTATTTGAAGAAGCTAATCCAATCGCTCGAACTGATCTTGAGCCTTTCTCTTCGGTATCTGAATTTATCCAGTAACACCAATATGTAGGCTATCAATTTATCAATGGGCAAAGGTGTTGTCACAACCTCTCTTCAGATGAAAGTAGTAATAAAAAAGTCAGCAAGTGGTCGTCAGTAAAATTTCAGGAATTGCTCCATAACACAGGACTGGTCAATTGTAAAGACATGAGGGGAAACTTTTTTTTATGCTTCAATTGAAACCCTGTTTTCCTCTTTGAGATGCCAAAAGTTGATATTTTTTTACCTTTTTTTATCACCGAAAAAAAAATTATATCATCAGATGGGTAGTTTTTGTTCTTTTACAGAACATGTTGCTTTTTACCTGGATATAGGCCTGATTAACATAGCACACAGAGCTCTGTAAAATACTATAGGAGAATTTGGTAGACACAGTGCGTTCTGAAGATCATTCTGACTGATTGTCTTCATTGATAGATTTGAATTATGTGTATCTTTGAAATATCTTGTGATCTTATTAGTAGATACTTTTTGAAGTTTGTAAGCAGAATTTTTTTCAGACCAATAATTAATTTTAAATACAATTTTTAGACTGAATCCCTTGTTGTAAAATGTTTAATTCTTTCCTAGATTTTCAATCACATTTTTTAATTGATTTTTTCAGGTACAGTATCTACATTTTCAAGAAACTTAAAGATAATATTGGCTTATTTAAGTAAGTGTGTATAAGATGTGTCTGGAAGTAGTTAAACCAATATTTATTGCAAAGTGTTCATTGAAAGGGGTGACAAAATTTCACACTTTTTATTCGAAAGACAAATTTTGTGCCCAACACTATTAAAAAGCCACCAAAATTTGTTGTTTATTTTTTATCAAAAACTTGACTGTAGTTGAAAATTCAACATTGCTGTAGTACGAGTATTTCCCACAAGATGGTTTCCTCACTTTCCTCTCATTTTTTTGCGAAAAATTATGCAATGGAATCACCGAGATGAATGAGAATCGGTTTTTCCATTAGATATTACAAACCGAAATTTAGTCAATAATGAATGATAATAAGTGCCCATGGATAGAGAGTGACAGGATTTTTCCTGGATTGCCTTGAGCAATTTTCCGAAAATTAGAGTTCAACTTGCAAATAGCGTATGTAAGCTCCCGTTTTAACAAAGCTTGCCGAGAAAGCCACTATGGCGTCCGAAAATAACCCTCAATCTTGTTGCGGCTAGAATCTCGATGGGTAATTGCCTTTGCTGTGAACTATCCGTGCTACGGCAGCCGTGCATTGAGAACGGCTGCGCTGACAGGATCGTGGCAAAGCTCTGAGGCCATTGGGATCTTAAACGCATCAACAGAGATATTTTCGGACGACATTTTGACTTTCTCAGCACCAAACGTTTAAATAAGGGCTCTAAACACGCAAATTCAAACTCATTTTTCGTGGGTTTGTACCACTCGAAAAAATCGGGGCAAATTTCCGTGTGCGAACTCTCTGCTTTTCAAACTTTTAATAACTAAAAATGACTAAACAAGCTCATTACCTGCATCATATAAACAACAGCCAAGATTATGACCGTAAACGCGAGGAACTATATTTTTTTTTTTTTGGGGGNGGGGGGGGGGGGGGAGTAAGAGCACCCTCCACCCTGGAGAGGGTGGTCTAAAGGCCTGGATTCACGCTCAAATTTCCGATCAAATGGTGACTAGTGCGCACCATCTACCATCAAATTTTTGCCGCCTGCAAAAATTTGACCGCCATTTTTGTCATCATTTTGATCGGAAATTGACGGAAATTTGAGCCTGCATCCAGGCCTTAATCCTCCGAGGTACTCTCTCTTGCAATTCAGGCCTATGCTGACATGCCCACGGATAGACGTGTTGGTGGTTATTGCGAAAATCGTGCTTACGGAATCATTGAAGTCATAGGGAAGTCAAAATAAATGATGGGTGGATGAAATTTTTCCAACCAATAATTTCGGAACCAAACCAAACCACCCATACGCGCAAATATTGGTATTTTTTCGCCCATTAAAGCACCTAAGTATATTTAGTAACGTCACTCCGTGTTTTATGACATCAAGTATAGGTATTACAGTTATAGACCATTAATTTTTCTCTAATGAATCAATCACCCATTTCCTTTATTTTATGACCTGTTTGTTGGTTGAAGTATTCCACCCCCCTGCGCGAATATCGGTGTTTTCCCGCCCATAAACCCAACCACGCGTTACCCACTTTGACGTCGCCGGCCGTCTCTTTTAGTTTTATAAAATTTTGTTTATGACAGCAATAATTTTTTTTCTCTTTTTTATTTAACATTGACCTGGTGTTAAGTTAAATAACCATGTATGGGTAATGTCATTTTTTAAATCAACAATTGAAAGTAAAAGTAACGTAATGCAATTAAAACCACCGAAGATTCCTTGCAACATGGACGATTCGATCCATGGGCATTGTGTAAAATAAAACTCGAGGTTTTTTTTACCACCCATTCCCCCTCCCCCCAATAACGGAGTTTCACAAAAATCGAACAAACAAGAGCCGAGATAGCATTTCAGGCCATGTATATGCCATTTTGGATTTTGGCATTTTGAAAATTTGACTAATTCGAATTTTCCGTTCAAAAATACCCTCTGACGCCGAGCCTCACTAAAATAGAATGAACAGAAGCCGAGATAACATTCTAGGCCACGTCCGCCATCTAGAATTTCGAATATTTAAAATTTGACTGAAAATTCGTGTTTCTCGACATAAAGTACCGAATGACTGAGTTCCCGAAAAATCGACCGAACACGAGCCAAGATAGCAGTTTAGGCCGCGTCCGGCATCTTTGATTCGGGAATCTTGAAAATTTGACTTGAACCGCGTGATATCCAAAAATGAAGTTCAGATTCGAATTCCTCGTTAAAAATCGATGCAGTTACATGTATCATACGCTAGCATAGCGTACCTATTGGGAAGAGGCTTGGCGGAGGCATACCGATTCTATCATATCAGTCCAACTTGGCAACATGGGTGGACTCACGGAGTGGATCAGCTGATGAGTAAGAAGAATGTTTATCTTCTCGGAAATTCTTCGGGACGAAAACGAAACCAAATGCTAAGCGCCGGCGCCCGGGTAGATTCCGCGCGGCATGGATAAAAGGTTTGAATTCCTTCATGATAAATTCTTCTTCTTCCTCAACCGACCCTCTGACCCATATTTGATTGATATCTTAGAATCAGGTGTGAATTATCTTTTCCTTCATGCGATACTAACGCACGATACATGAAATTGCATTGATTTTTCACGAGGAATCCGAATCTGAGCTTAGATTTTGGCTATCTTGCGTTTTAAATTCATTAAACATCGTGGGAAAAAACCACAGGTGTTCTTAATTCATCAAATATCAGTGTTTTTTTTGTTTTGTTCTGTTTTTGTTTCACTAGGACTACGACGAAGAATGAAAAATACCGTTTCGCTGTTTCCATCTGATTGTGAGCATCTTGCTTTTGAAATATAATGAAATTAATTAATAAAAGGAAAATAAAGACCATAGGTATCGAAAAAGCTCCCTTGAAATACGGATGAGTCGATCTAGTGGGTCATCCTTAAATAACGTAAGTAACGATAAACTTATGAGGTTTTTACCCCCCTCCCTCCGATTCCTTTGTGTTTTGGCAAGATGTACTCCCCCCCCCCTCAATATACTACGAACGCTAACTCTGAATAACCCCTTAATAAAACTAGATGGCGAAAATTATTCTAGGTTATGGAGCATCTGTCCGTTCCGAAATTCATTAAATTTTTCGCGAAAGTATTGCTTGATCCGTTTGGACTCACAATCAGCGATGGAAGGAAAGAGGCACGGAGAAAAGGGGGGGGGAGGAAGCACATTTTGTTCCTAAAACTTTCCTAAAAAAAAAAGGAAG